ATCTAATTGGAGAGAGGATATAACATTTCTGTTATGCTTAGTGTATCATTTTCTTCTCTTCATTTAGATGGTGCTTTATGGAAATTAAAAATTACTTTTTACAATTTATCTTTATCGTATTAGGAACAATATTTCTTTATTTGGTTTTAACACAACAGAACATATATCTCGCCAAATATTTCGGTTTTTCGTCAATCTTTAATCACACAAATATATTCAAGTTGTTAATTACGACTGATTCAGAAACAACGAACAATAGTAATTTATCCGACATCAGCAATAGTACGAAAGAAGAGAAGAATACCATAGTCTATATATCAAATTTATCGTCTCCTCTATTCTATCCACAACTACCCATTCTCACGTATATGTCTAATATTGATTATGAAAAATCAAACATTAGCAAAAGTAAACTCATTTTATTGTCTACTCCATTTTTTGGTGATTTACGATGGGGATTGAAATCTATTGGTAAACCGAACGGTCAGGTGATGACTGAACTACAATGTCCATTTTTAACAAAGTTTTGTGATATAACCAATGATAATGGAAGGTTTTCCGAAGCGGATGCTGTTCTATTCCACATGCGTGGTATGTTTCGAACATTCTACATATTATAAATTGCATATATTCTGTCCATCTACATTCTTTCAGATAGTATCGATAAAGGAAAAGCTCAATCAAAGCGTAAATCTGATCAACGTTTCGTGTTTGGATTATGGGAGTCTCCCGCACACACACCTGATCTATCTCAGTATAGAAAGTTTTTTAATTGGACGCTTTCCTATCGTTTTGACTCTCATATCATTTCTACTTATTACTTCTCAGACAGTTTTATACATAAATCAAGTTTATTCTATCAATTAATATCAAAATACTCTCCTAATATAACCTTAACCGAATTTGACTTTAAAACAGTCACAACAAATATTACTAAACGTATCGGTACGGCCGTTGCTCTAATATCAAATTGTGGTGGTTCAAGTAGACGACTGGCATATATTACCCAATTAAGACGTTATATCGATGTACAAGTATATGGAAGATGTGGTACAGCGTGTCCAGCAAACGTTAACTGTCGAGAATATTTATCAAAAAATTTTTATTTCATATTAAGTTTCGAAAATAGTTTATGCAGTGATTATACAAGTAAGCGTGTCGGTTTGTTAGCTTAAAAGTGTTGGGAAAATATAATAAGTGAACTTTCTGCTCTATTACTGAAAGCTATCTGTCTATAAGAGAATCATTCCATGTCTGTGAAGTGAGTATTTTTGTTGATAACTGGCAATTTTTGATTAACTATATTATTTCATTTCCAGTGATTCTCAAATACGTCCTCTATACATTAACTATTTGATTTCTTTTTATGTAGCTGAAAAATTTTTCTCGTCGTTATCCCATTCTATTGTTCCCGTCGTTTATGGTCGAACAAATTACAGTCGTTTAATTCCAAAATCCGGCTTTATTGACATTCAAGATTTCTCTACACCATTACAATTAGCTCAATATTTAAATGAGACCAAAAATAATTTGACCATGTGGGCAAGTTATTTTTCATGGAGACGTGATTACGTCTGGGGTATTAATAGTTTCTTCTTTCCATTTTGTGATCTCTGTCTTCGATTACACTTAGATAAAATTCCAAATGTTATTGATGATATTAGTTCATGGTGGACGTCTAATACTTGTGTAAACCCGAAATTAGCTTAATAATTGTTTTCTTAGTA